TATCTACCTTTCATCTTACTTCTCTTCAAGAATCTTTAGGCTTCGTGGTCATTGTATAGAGTGAATTGATTCCCCAAGCTAGGATAGGAGTTTTATTAACCGATTTCTTCAATGCTGCAAAGCTAACGTGTTTTATTTAACCAAATGAATTTATCGAACTTGAGAAGCTCCATCAATGATGCCACTATCAAGATAAAATATCTGATAAATCTTCTATAGAAAGAAGTTAATTCATGAAATTTACAAACCTAAGTAGATAATCATGGACCGGGCCAAATAACAAAAGCCTCGATCTTAATTGGGTCCAACTTAATGTTAGCCATTGAAATAATAAGCTCAAGAAAACATGTATGGTCGGCAAGAAAGTGATAATTCTTTGGTTGTCCATACAGTTTTATATCCAAAAAAATTTCAAAAATTTGTCAAAAATGCTTCAAATGCTCCTTCTTTGAATAGCTAGTCACTAGAATATGGTTAATGAACACATCCACAAATGTCTGATAAAGACTCAAAAAGCTTCGTACATCCATCTTATTAAAGTGTTTGGTGCATTGTATGGGTTAAAAGGCATAACCATCCACTCATATCATCCATTTCATATCTTAAAAGCAGTCTTCCACTCATATGATCCATTTAGTTATTTTTTTGTTGTTATTTATTTAAATAAATTATTATTTCAAGCCGAAAATAAGCCTGATTCGTGCAAATGAGTTTGAGTCAATCCAAACACGAATAGTCTATTATTGAGCCATTTCAAACATGAGTTGAACATGAACAATTAAAAATTCGAATGAGCCAAACATGAATAAGCTTTAGGCTCCCCCAAGTTGTGCTCATTTACACCCCTACAAGGCATATTGAATTTCACTTAGGGATGCTAAGTCAAGTGATAGGTTGTTAGTCAGAGCATCATGGAACTCCATGGTCATCTCACCGACACCTCTCTCATTACCTGCAAAAATTTATCATGCAGCATAATAACTCCCATACCTGTTAAGTACTCATCAATTTTGAGTCCCTTAAGGGAAAAAGGTGCAGTACTTTTCTTGTCATTGATAAATGAGTGTGTTCTTATGGTCGACATAAAGTATACCTATGTTCTACTGATATGGTCGAGCCGATAGAATATATCATGCATCCATAAGCATAACATTACACCACACATGATCCAGTAGCTTGTCTTCCAAGGGTTTGCATTATTTGATCTACACTGAAAAAGCTATCTGAGCCAACCAGTTTGGTTGATTTGGTTCAATTTTAAAAATACATTTATGTTTTTGGTTTTCAAAAACTTAAAATTTGATTTTTGAATTTTGGTTTGGTTTTATATTTTATTTAACCGCACAAACTAAAAAAATCAAAATTTTATTAAAATTTCTTATTATATTTTCGAGGCATTTACATACATACCACCCAATTCCTAATTATTTATATATCTAACACCTAAACTCTATTTTTTACTTTTATAGCACAAATTTTTCATATCACATCAAAATACCATTATTCTAACATGGAAAAAGTGAAATACATCTTTTCATGCATGGGTAGTTTGACATTAATATAAAAAAATGAGTTTTAGGTGGATTAGATATGTAATTTCATAGGAATTAAGTGACATGTTTGTTAAATTCTTCTATTTTGATTTCATGTCAAACAAATAAAAAAATTGAAGTTTATTATGAATGCAAGTGGATTCATGAAATTATATTGATATTATGCATGTAAGATATCTAATTCATAGTATTTGTTTACAAACAAACTCCAAAAATAAATAAATTTCAGTTTATTCATAATACAACGATTTAAACAAGTTAAATTTTGTTTGGTCAGTTAGGTTTTATCAAAAGTTTGATTGATTCAATTGTTTGGAATTTCTATTTCAGTTGCTCGGTTTGACCAATTTGCAAACTGATCCATCCAAACTGATTGTATTCTCAACCATATTTTCTCTCATGAAAGTTTCTACTAGATATCTTCTGTAATCACCTAAATTAGCTATATAACATGACCTCACTTAAGAGTAAAATGTTTGTTTATGAGTGAAAGAGCTAAGCACAATTGATTTATTGTCTGTTTCGGACAGCTTTCTACCTGCTTCGTGTTTCAGACAACCACCATCACTCCATTTGAGAAACTGGTTTCTTGTTGCTTTCTAGCAATTTTTGCGGTGAAAATCTATTTTTTTTATCAATTTAATCTATTAAATTGTTGGGAATGTAAGAAAATTTGTCTGTTTTTTTTAAAAAATATATATTTATAATTTTCACCTCAGTAAGAAAGTTGTCTGATTTTGTATAAAAAAATCTATATTTATATTTTCGACCACAATTTTCTAAAAAGTTGATTTCTCCACCACAACCTTTTAATGGACTTTTTAAAAAGTAACAAAGATCGAAAACTGACCCTTAATTAAATTCTAACCTAAATGAAACTTAGAGATCTATTGAGCTGGGATGTATAGGCTTTTTGATCATATGGTACAGAAGCCATCTAAAAAAAGAACGGGTCTTAGTGTTGATAAGGCTAATTTTTTCCCATTGACAAAATGGTAGCAAATTTGAGAATAAAAGAATTCTTCTTTGACATTAAGAAGATATATCAACGAAGAACTTATCAATTTATCAGTCTGGTTGGTAAAAAAATATTGTAGCCATTCATGATTGAAGTGTAGCATTTAATTGCCCAATCAAAATGTCTTGTATCTATAGTCTTCCTATAAGACCGCATTTTTAAAATTTTATATTTAAAGATTTTTGGAATTTCTTATGCGGGGAAAGGGCGTATTTTTGAATTTATGTTTAAATATTGCCGAAATTTCCCCTACATGTACACGTGCGCGTACACACACACACATATATAAATGCATTAAAACTAGGCATTGAACGGGCTGACCTTATTCGGGCTTTTAACCAATCAAAGCGGGCTTGTGCCGGGCTTTAGCCCGATTTCTATTTTGAATTTCATAGCCAAATCCGCCCACTTGATGGGTCGGGCTAGCCCACTGGCCTTAAGAGAGAAAAAAACAGTTTTGAGTGGTTTGCATGTAAATGACCAAAATTTAGGCATAAGGCATTTGAATATATAAGAATATGATAGTATGCATGCATGTACATAAAGTTTGAGTATTGTATATGTAAATACCTAAGAATCACGTGACGTGCATGTATAAATATATATATATATATATATATATTATGAAAAACCCAATGGCTGATTTTATTGAAATAGAAAAGGAAACATAAAGGTTATATGATAAGAGCTTAAAAGAGGCACTCTATCATACGATACAAGTATAGTAATACCCCAACAAGAGATACATATAGACTCAATAAAATGTAAAACAAATTTAAAGCATGCAGAAAATAAGTAGCTAGGGATGTGCCAGTTTGAGTGGAGAGGGTTTGTTTGGGGGGGGGGAGGGGGGAGGGAGGGGGGGGGGGGGGAGAGAGAGAGAGAGAGAGAGAGAGAGAGAGGACCTACTTTGCTCGGTTTGAGTGGAGAGGGTTTGTTGTTTGTTGTTTGGTGAGAGTGGTTGGAAGAATATATGAGAGAGAGAGAGAGGGAGGTGAGGAGATTTTTCATGGGTTGGAGAGAGGAGAAATGTGAGTTGCAAGCTTGCGAAGTTCACGGTTGGGAAAGTTAATGGTTTGGAGCTGGGGTTGAAGTGGAGAGTGGGTTCTTGGGATGATTTACGGATCGAACAAGAGGAGAGGAGAGGAGAGGAGAGGCGGGCCGGGTTCCACATGGGCGGGCAGGGTTTGGCTGCTTTGGGCTTTAACTAAATCAATGTCTGCTCAAGCTGGGTCGGGCCCGCCAAATATCTATTTTCTTACAACCAAGCCCGCACATAGCCTATGGGCGTATTGCGAGCCTGTCGTGCCACCCGCCTCAATGTCCAGGTATATTATACATATATATGTGATGTGCTTTTTTGTGTTTGTGTATTTGATATAATATATATATTTAAAAGATGAACGACAACATGTTTCTGTTCACCCCATATGTGGTAATTCGACCCAGATGGATTTGAACGTGGGACAGAGTGGACTTAAGCCGAACTTGCCAACCAACAAGTCATTGGTTGTATATATATATATATATATATACATACATCTACATGTATACATACATCTACATGTATACATACACATACATGTATACATACATCTACATGTATACATGTACATCTACATGTATACATGTACATCTACATGTATACATGTACATCTACATGTATACATGTACATCTACATGTATACATGTACATCTACATGTATACATGTACATCTACATGTATACATGTACATCTCAAATACATAAACAAAAAAACTACATATTCCTCACCTCAATGCGAATGTCTACTTCATAAAATAATTGATGCCGCTATCTCGTTACCTCCTACTTAGGTTTTAATTGCCTCGCTATTTAATGCTAACAAAGCTATCATTACTTGTAATCCCATAATTCTAGCATGCCTAGAGTCATCATCTCCTACTGTAGTACCCCTTTTTCTTCTCCACTTCAGTGCATGTTCTTTTATTGTCTTCTATCCTCCTACCATTTTCTCTTATTCTTTATTCTGGTTTTTTTTTGTATATGTATACTGGGCTTTCTTCTTTAGTTTCCTATGTGCAATTGATCCGAATTTTGGCAGAGATGTTCTCCCTTTCTTGGGTGGGCCACTTAAAAGTGGCTTTTAACTTAACGCGTTGGATCTAACTCTAAATCCTCTTCTTTCAGTTGGGTTGATTCTGGGCAGGCTACATAATCGATGAATCAATTTACCCTGCTCAAATCTGATTCATGGCTGTTTTTATCTGTGATAGGTTTTATGATAAAAAGCAAATACCTTTTGTAATCTTAATTTCACATGAAAATTTGTTTTAGAAACATCTTTGCTATGTTATAATATTGTGCCGCAAACCGTGCATTTTGTGTGCATATTATTTATTTAATTGTTTTTTATAAAAATTAACTTTCTCAGATTGCATGTTTTTCAGGTTAAAAAAATGCGTTCTCAAGATCATTATGAAATGCGAGAGTATAATATTGACTTGCTCAAGGAGGAGGAACAAAATTTACAGGTAGACAAACGGCCATATCCACTCTACCCGTCCAAAACAGGGCTGAAACCAAGCTTTCTGAAGGACACAATATCAAGGTGCCCAATTTCTTATTCAAATGATCATCTTTGTCGACATCTGTTTTAATTGCACATTTACTCTTAAGTTTATGTGTCTAATTTTTCATGTGATCTTGTTGTTATTCTTAATTCGCTCACTTTTTGCAAAAGTTATCCACTTTTGTATTAGGAGGCTATTTTTGAAATAAAGTTACGATGCATTAACTAACTTTTGTATTAGGAGGCTATTTTTGAAATAATGTTACGATGCATTGACTAGCTAATGTTAATATTTACTATAATTTTTTAGGAAACACATCTATTAGGAGACAACAAACGATTAGATTATATATTTTTTATAAGTTTTATGGTTAAATGAAAAATGTTTTGTTATGCTTCCGCTCAACTGAATTTGTCAAAGCCCAAATTAACCATAGAAAATAAAGAAAATAAAGAGTATAAATGATGTTCTATATACATAGAAAATAAAGGATTTATTGTCCTCCTCAATTATAGGTCGCTTGCCATGTTAATATGCCTTGCTCTTCAAGTGCTTGATTTTGGCATCGAGCCTCTCGACCTTGACATTCTTAGTTTGCGTCGTATACTTTGTCGAGGACTTCAACTTGGACTTCATTGGAAGTAGATTAGCATCAAAGCTGGCTGGCAACTCCTTGATGACTGCGACTACTCTCCCCAAGATTTCGTCATCAACTGATGACGACCTCCAATCGGAGACAATGTTGTGCTTCGAATGCAAATCTCCACCCCCTGCGCATGCGCGCACGACAACTTCTCTTTAAATCTTGAAGTTCAACCACTAGAGCTACCAACTCCTACTAGCCTTTGATTCTGGTCATTCTTTAGGCTTACATACTTATCTTACAACGGATTGTAATGAGTAACTAACATCGAATTAGGATTATAATTATATTTCACAAATACAAAAATAAAACTATTCAACTTATGTGTGCAGGTCAAGCTTTGTCATCGACCTAATGTTAGTCCAGTTGAGGCTGATGTGCATGCATGCAACTCAACGACAATTAGCTCTTGTCCAAGCATCTGCTTCTGTTACCGTTTAAAAGGATTAGGAAAAAATTGATAATAAAAATCAATTTAACGTATTGAATAAATTTTAACCGTCCCTCTCCTATACTCGGTATGGGGATCGAGTTTTTGATTTGTGAGGTACCTATGCCCACACAGTTTGAGGCACTGTTCTGCCGTGCCGTCGGCTTCTACCTGTGATACTCAGTAGAAGCTCAGACTCTACACAATATGATCCAGACACCTCCCATGTCTTAATGGGCGCTGCTCCTTGCGGATATTAGCGCACATATGTTAATCCTAACATTGACACTAATTCTTTTATTTTATACATGTCATCTGATATTATAAATTTTTCTGATATTATAAATTTTTTCGAATTTCTCTTTTAATAATCTGGGAAATTGTTAAAATATTCTTGAGACATATAGTAATTTTATTTAATGCTCAACATTATAAGAGCCGTTGGTAACTTATATTAAGTGATGCAACATTTCCATATTGACCATTGTGCGGCATTTAATATTTCATGAAATTTTTGAGCTTCTCTGTTAAGTGGCTCATTCTCATTCACTTGCTCTGCAAACTGAGCTCTTGTTGCATCGAAGATCATTTTTTTAAATATAATAGGATCATATTCACTTGGTGGGGTTGATCATAATCAATGTGTTTTGTACTCTCTATGCGAAGTATAGTACTGGTAATTAGGTTGAAATCCCTTATGATACAAATCCATTTTGACTTTGTCTTGTGGTAGAAAAGGTTGATTTTCGTGTTTCACACATAAACATCGAAATTTAGCATTTGAAAGGTAAATAGGAAGCTGTGATATCGCTTGCATAAAACACTCAACTCAAAACTTTCATGTGAGTCTTTTTCTGTATTGATGTAATCTATTTACGCCCATGATCTTAAATTTCGAATATCTTTTAACACTCCATAGATTTAAGGACAAAATCATTTAACACATCAACTAAATAGACATTTTCGTACATAGGTATGTATGTAATGATTTAAATTGACATCTTAGATAGATAATTAATTAAGTAAAACCCATCCTTTTCGTACCACATGAAAAGTATTTCCATTTTAACGTTTAAAAAGTGAAATACACATTTTCATCCATAAATAATTAAGGTGTCATGTATGAAATAATTGAAGTTTAGGTTTAAATGAGCTTAACCAACTTATGATCCTGGTCGACTTCTTTGTTCGTGATCTGGCCTGTCTATTTGTTATTTTATTGGAGCACTAGCTTGAATTAATATTACTTGTTTTATCATAATTAACAAGCCATTCACAAGCATCCTCAGACTAGTAGAATTAAGCTCGACTGCATTTATTAATTAAGTATGAGCTTGAGCCGAGGGTGGCTCAAACTCAACTTAGCTTGTTTACACCCCTAGTTCCTGCAACCATGTGGAGGCTTACATGGCATGAATCAAACTTAAAATTAAACTTGAATTCAAAACTAGTTATTCATGAAACTAAATTAAATCAAAAACAACAAATTAAATTCAAATTTAATTATAAGTTTAACCAAAATCTTACGTAACATAATATAATTTTAACATCAAAATAATTCAAGCTATGATCAAACCTAAATTAAATCCAACTAAATGCACAGAATTTTTTACTATGAAACTATGCTTAAATATAGTTTGACTCAATAATTGAATTTAACTCAACCTAGATAAAACACACAATAAATATAAATCATACTGAAATTAAACCTAAAATGAAAATAAAAGAAACCGCATTATTCAATGCAACCAACAATGTGCACTCAATCCAATACCAATCCAAAATTCAAATTCTACCTAAATTCTAAACTAAATCTCCTCCTAACCATATTTAAAATATTTTTAAAATTAACTACAAATTTGCATAAAGCCCAATCCAAATCAGGTTTAACCTCATCCAAATTAAACTCATGTCCAATTTCATCTCATATAAATCAAACACAATGAAACCACATCCAATTCTACATAAAATCAATTTTCAAACTTAACCCAATATTACATATAACCAACTCAAACCAACTTGTAATCCAACAAAATCCGACCCAAATCAACTCCAAGATCAAACCTTTAAACCCCACTCACACTTGAAATTACATTCAACCACTAAATCAGTCTCCAGACACCCATGATTCCCTTCTAAAATTCAAACACCCACCCATAATTCCCTTCTAAATTCCAAACACCCATGATTCCCTTCTAAAATCCAAACCCAATCCAAGCATTCTCCTAACTATAATTTAACCATTTAGCGAACAAAGTAACAACCCCAAATCTGACTCAACTTGCTGTTCTAACAACTTTTCATTCTTGCTGAAATCTTGCACCAAATAACCACCATATTCAAGTCAAATACTGCTCAAAGTCTGCCCTAAGGACACCCAGCTCAATTCCTAATCCAAATCAAGCCAATTGTTGTTCAAGATCCTGACCTCCTTCAGTTCATTCCAAGGTCAACCTGGCACTCATCCATAGGCCTGGAAATCAACACAAAAAGCATACACATTTCTCCTCAAAGTAATTTTACAACAAATTAAAGGCAACCTAAACTAAATTCTTTTGAAGCAACAAATTAATCAGTCATTAAGTTTCTCACTTGTCATTACTTATTGCCACTGTCGAGTCGCGACCGAGATTCTGATTAGTCTCCGAGCAAAACTCGTGCGAGAGCGAGCTGTCTGGGGAGAACGGAAGCTAGGGAGGAATAGGAGAAGTGACTGTTTTGTTTCTTAGCTTTGATAAATTAAGGTTATCGACCGATTATCGGCTCAACATTCAGCCGATAAATATTATCAGTTGAATTTAACTGGTAAATCAACTGATTTTTAGTGCTTATGAAGTGACTGAAAACAATTGTTAATTTTCAACCAATTCATTTAACCGACTATATAATTTAATCAATATACTAAACTAATGTCGACCATTCAACCACTTATTTATCCGGAAGAAAATTGACTGAAAAAATTAGTGGTATTTCAACCGATAGCGACATATTTTTCTTTAGTGACACCAACTGCAGTCATCCACCTTTGTCACTGTTTGCATCTGCCATTGCTTGCTATGGCTCCTTGCCAACAATCACCGCTTGCCACTGTTCTTTGCTACCGCTGCCACCTTTCCTGCCACATGTTATTCCTCTTTTATCCGTCGTCGACCTCAAATGTTATATTGTTTTTATTTTACTTTGAACCAAATATAAATATGAAGCTACTCACTTTTTTTTATGCTAAACCAAACAACTCCAAAATATTTGAAATACAATACATTATTTCTACACTGCATTCTTCTTACACTGCATTACTTTTTCAACAAATTAAATAGCTCCTTGATATCGCGGAATTTTATTTCATTTGTATCTTGTTTGTGTACTTTTCCTTTTCTGTTTGATAGCTCTTGTTAATTTCTTTCCTTTTACTTATATAGATTTCTCATTAATATTCAATTAAATTATAAAGAGAATAGGCGCGATTCATTGAGAATTCAATAGTGAAGGAAGGGAAGGATGTAAACCAAAAGCCGAAATGATAGGCTTAGAGCCATCTGGATACAAAAGGAAGTGAAATAACGTGGCATCAAAGGTTTGTGGAAGAGAAAATAATCCTTGGAAAGCAGGAAAACAACTTGATAAGGCAATACCGCGTCCTTAGCAGAATAGAGTGAGAGCCAATTTGAATATGGTATGGGAGGAGCTAGATACCATGAGTATGAGACATTAGCGCTCAAATAGAAGCCCCCTACACAGTATGCAAACGGTCATGAGGCAACCTAAACATACACGATAGGTGGATAGTGTGAAGCTAGTCATTTGGTGTGGGAGAATCGAAAGGACAACCAGAACCCTCACTGAGAGTAGGGCGCAACATAGAGAAGTTGTAGTAAAGCTTACTTCACATACTTGTAACCTTTACCATACACTACGCTGTGCCTCACTAAGAGTAGAGGCGTAGTCTAGAGTAGTTTTAATAATGCTTATTAGAATAATTTTCCATTTCTCAAGGTTGTCAATTATAAGGGGGTATCTTTGAAGAAGAAATGTTTTGGTCCTAGGAATCGATCTTTCTTATTTATAATTGGGGCTTTTGTGGATGCTTCTGGCTTTTGTTATTACATGTTGACTTTTAAGAATTTGTGTTTCTTTTAGCTTTTTGATAAAGATTTTGGCTTCTGTTCCTGTTCTTAATTTTTACTTTCACGGAGGCTTTACAGTTATGATTAGATGTGTTTGTGGCATATACAAATCATTCCACTTTGTTCTTATTTTTGTCCAATAAATTTTCATTTGAACGTTTTTTTCTTAAACTTTCTGTTTAGTGCAACTGTAGATTGCAGACATGAGCAAGTTATCTCTTTTTTCAAGCATGATGCTTGGTCTTGCTATTTAATAATTTTTTAATCTTTTTTTATTATATAACTTTTAGTTGATTGTTTACATGTGATTCACTCTCGCTAAATTTGGTACAATTTGATTTTCTTAATTAAGGCGTAATTTTTAAATTAAATGCATGAAATTCATGCTCAGAATCTCTTTTATTTTTAAGAGATGCTTATCAAATCATCCTGTCAGATTCTTCATTTTTTTTGTTTTCGTTTGAAGGAACAAAAAGCTTGTCTGAGTTAAGCGTTTTGAACTGCATATTTGAATGTGCGCGCTCGTGAATTTAAGCATCTCCTTTTTTGTTTATATTAACAAACTCTAGATCGAAGATAGTGGCTTTCTTATATTTTTAAATCTTTTCAATTCTGTTATCTTTTTGGGAAGGGTTTGCTTAAAATTTTCCTCTCTTAATGCAATCCTGTCCATTTCACTGCTTTGAACAATTAGAGCATCTGGACGTTTTGTTTGTTAGGATACTTCATCTAAAGCTTCAAAATTTCTTTCGATTAATACATTTTCTACAATCTTATCATGAAGTCTTGAACTTTTGGTGATATTTTGCGTTCATTTTCAGGGCTCTGAAGATTTTGTCCGGAGATATTGATCCCATACCCAAGGATATCCTTGAGGAGCTCAATTTACCTAATCTTTTAGACGTAAGTTTTTTATTTTTTGTTTTTTATTTTAAAAATCACAATCATACATGAAACTATGTGATATTTTTGGTTTCCTTTTTAGTTCCCCTTGCAAAATTCTGCACCCATACTCTTAATGATCCTTGAATATACTTTGCAAAGCCTTTTTGGAAGTATTGTATGAGCTCGGTTATATCTTTGTTAGCATTTTATATGTTCCTTTTACAAAATTTCTTAGGCTTCTAGTCGAAAGGAGAAAGGGAAGGATATATTTACAATGCTAGTAGCATTTAAGCTCAACTGGCTGGTGCATATTATAGGGTCTAAGATTAAGTGGTGGATTTCTTGAAGAGGCGTTGGTTTAGTCTTAACATAGTTCATCACAATCGTTATATTTATTTTTAAGTTTTAGTAGCTGAAGTTTTATTCTGCCTTCATGATATTGCTTTTTCATCAAATAGGGTTACATGTCACTGTTGCTTGATCAAATTTTTTTCATCCTAAAGGGAAACATGTCACAGCTGTTGTAAATTTTTGTCACATTTTTTAATTAATAGCATGCAACATGTCCCTCTTGCTTTTATTTATTTATTTATTTATTTTTTTGATCTTTTCTGTAATTTTTTTTAAAAATTTTATTTTCCCTCTTCTTCACTTGGCCCATTGTTTGATTGTGGTATTTGGCGGGATTAATGATGTATATTATGATTGTCAATGGCATCTTTTTTCTCTATCACGCTAATGTGACTTTTTGATATCTGCTTAGTTTTGTTAGCTTTCTTGTTTGTCAAGTAAATTTAAGGGCATATCCCAATTATTGAAAAATAGATAAAATACACAAAAGTCTAGGCAATAACCTAACAAATGGGAACAGAGCATAAAATTTACAGTTTGTTACATAAAGAAAGGTAAGCCTACATAAAACCAAAACCTATGCTCCAATGAAAAGGTGGGGAATCAAAAAACATTTTGGTACACTTGTTTCTTTTTTTCCGTGTTTTAAGCAAGAAAATGAATTCTTTTTCTCTCGTGTTTTTTTGTTGTTTTTGTTTTTTTTACGGCTGAGTATTGCATCTTTTAGCTTCTTGCTTTTATTTATTTATTTATTTTTTGAACTAGGAGAAACTTAGGTAATTAATGTTGTTGTACTCATGTTTTTTTGGTAAAATGGCGTTAAAAAATGAACCATTAATTCTAATTTTGAGGGACTATAAAGTATTTGTAAATACACGGGTTACCTTTACTATAGTCATAAGTCTTTTAGCTTAAAATGCAATCTTTGATAGACCTCTCTACCCATTCGTTGTTGTTTTGCTTGCTTAACAAAATCATAGTAAAATTCCTCAACAATACTAACCTTTTCAACTACTAAAGTGGAGATCGTTAAATCTAGGATATGGTTTGTTAGCTCGTTAAAGAATTAACAAGTATTAATGAATGAAAGACAGCAAAGCGATACTGCAAATGAGCCAAAGGATTTAATCATTGATGATATAGAATGTTAGTCAACAATATCAATTGAAATGACTGACATATGATTGATATCTATTCTTTTGGAAGTGTAGTGATATCAATTGAGCTGACTGTCATATGATTGATATCTTTTCTTTTGGAAGTTTAGAGAGTTCCCAAGTTTTCAGTGGTATTGATTTATTTTATTACAATACACTTTCATTTAGATTCCCAAGATCTTACTGAAGGTTATTTAGATTTTGAACCACCTTTTGTAATGCAACAATGACACAATCTGTAGGAATTAATATGTTTGTCCATTGACAGAACACAAGGTTGCTGAGATGGTGCTTGGTTCAAGATTTAGCTTCGTTTTTTATTTTAATTGGTTGATCAAGATGGCATAAAGCTGATTCAATGATTTTGTTACTGATGTGGAGTTGAGAGGTCTCCATACTTAGTTTAAAGTCATGGTTTTAAGAGGTGATTGGATCTTTGTCACCTTTTTAATTTTCAGCTTTGTGGAGTATACAACCATTTGGCATTGTGTCTGGAATCCATAGGTTGGCTACTAAAGTCGTGAGTTTGCAGAAGTAATGATATTTTGGGTGGCACTTTCTTGTACCTATATGAGGGCATGAATGGGTTAGTAATGAGTTTTTTTTTTTAACATCGGCTTAGAAGAGTTGTTTTTTGAAGGTGACATCTATAGTGATGCATTTCTTTTTCGGTGGATGGTAACTCACACTTGTAACTCTTTTTGTTTGGTGAGCATTCAAGGATAACATATTTGTTCGAAATAAGTTCAAGTTTGCTGTGATTTTGGTGATGCTATGGAAGGAGGAGGTGCATTCAAGGATATGAATTGGAATGGATGAGATGATTTTCTCATGTGGGTAGGTTTGGAGGTTATTTTTAGATGTTTGAAAATTTAGTATTCGAGAGGGCATACTATTATTAAGAAATGCTGCAATTTTCACAACTAACCTGTCTTTTTGTTTGGTGAGTATCAAAGGAAAATATATTTGTTTGAAATAAGTTCAAGTTAGCTATGTTGTTGATGATGTCTGTGGACAAAGGAGGTGCATTTGAGAATTTTAATTGGAATGGATGAGATGATTTGCTCATGAGGGTACGTTTGAGGCTATTGTTAGAAGTTTAAAAATTTGGTATTGGAGAGGGCATACTATTTGTTAAGAATTGCTTCAATTTTCACAACTTACAGCAAGAAATTTTTTGGACTGCGAGTCAAGCTTGAATGATGGAGCTATTTCCGCCAATCTCTATTTTTTCCTTGAGCAACTCCATTTTGTTACGGAATGTAGACACATGCACCAAAGTATATTCCTTTGATCTAAAAGGTAGGACATAAGGGTGTAGTGATAATACTCATGCACATTATTAGTCTCGTTTATTCGGATCTTAGTTTGGAATTGATTTTGCATCATATAGAGAAAAATAAGTGGTTAGAAAGCTTGTTTTGTTTATTCGTATTTTTGCACAAAACTACCTACAAATAATTTGTAACTACTAATTACAAAAAATCTGAAAGTTAAAATTGCTCCTTACCTTTCTAACTTGGTCCCTCAGAGGAAAGAGTAATTCATGGCATTTACTTTTTTATATTAAACTCATGAATCCATGTCGAGCCCTTATTTAGAACATAAATTCAGGACTCCTAAGTTTTAACTCTTTATTAGCATTTTATCTAAAGTTTAGGCCTTTTTGGCTAACTTCATATTGATTTTTCATAAGGAATAGTCTTGTAATTTACAGTGATCATTAGTGAATGTAACAATTTATTTTGAGTTGGTGCTATTATTAACCGATGACGGTCCTCATACAAAACTATTGATTATGAAAAAACCGACTTGTTTGTATGGGTGATTAGGGAAATAGCTGTGTGTGTAGTTAATTTACTTTCAGATTTCCTATTAATATAATTGCATAGTTTAGGAAATAATCCTTTTAGATACAAGAAATTCGGATGACCTAAGTGATAGTGATATAATATGATGTCATTTTCATTATTCATGCTAGAAGATGAAACTATAGATGCCTTTTTTATGATTTGTAGTTAGGTTCTATTCTAAGGACCATCAACTATCCTAACATTGCCGATTCTTGTATCCAATATCAAAAAATTCATATATGTTTAGAAGAATGTTTGTAACGTAATTAATTTTATTTGTAAAACAAAGATTTAAGGACAATACCTCTTAAAATAATCTTAGGTCCACTGCAAGAAACCATAAAAAGAGACCCATTTGCAATTTGAATAATGAGTATTCTAAAGCATGATTTGTACTCTATGAAAATCATAAAATCGCCATTTATATAATTGGATACAACTGAGCCGACAATTTAGGACCTTTCTTTTTTATATGGAACATTTTGAGTTTTCAAAGAGTCACGTTTTTAAGTTTAGAAGCTGAGCTAATGGCAAATTCTAGTCTATTTTGTCTGTTGAGACAAGGAATTCAAATTTCTTTGCTAATGAAGTCTAATTAGATGATATTAGTGTCTCAGTGGTGATTGTGTTGCCATGCATTTCATAATTTTGTGTTGTCATTGATTTGTAGTTATGGGGTTTTCACATATTTCCTTGCACTTGTCATTGGTATATCTAGTTTTTGAAAGTGATCGCACTATAGTCCAGCATCTTTTAGTTTTTTTTGGTCCACACCCTTATGATTTGCAAGGGAAATTTCTCACTATTAGTTACAAGCCGTCATTCCCTCTTTTAGCCAAATAGGAGGTGCACTCGATTGACAAATTTGTTGAATTTCTATCTTAGAGAATTAAAGTGAAGTTTTAGTTACTGCAATTAGAATAATAATGTGTTTTTTCTGCAAATACTTGGTGGTAAAAAAGTCAATGACAATCTTGCTAAGCATGATAGAACTGAGTGATACCGGAATTTAACAAACACCAAGGGAACATAAATATTATTGCCGAATCGAAAATATGAAATTACAGCAAACGACAAGAAAATTTGAAATTGTAATAAATCAACTACACAAAACTAGAATTAGGGTTGGATGTTGGGCTAGGGTTTGGATCTTCTGGGTGGTGGAAAAAATGCGGTTGGGAAGCAGGAGACAGCAAGGGGCTATTTTCAAGGGTCCAGATAGAAAAATAGATGCAACAAGTGCAATTCTAGGGGCGGTAGCAAGTTGGAAGGGGAGAGAATGTGGGAACGATGTGGGAAAGGAATGAGGAGAGGTATAGAGAGGATAAACACCACATGGAGACAGAGATATAACAGGAGTACCACTTGAAACCCTTTGATTAAGTTCATAGAGAGATAAGGAGGCGCTGACGATTTTCCCAAAGCAATTACAGAAAAAAACTAATTCTAAACATTGACAAAAGGAAATATATAGTCCTAAATAACTATGAATGGGCCCTACTCCAATTGCGTGACACTCCCATGATATCTAGAGTGTCGGCTGACCCTCAGGAAACTTAGATCGAATCGGTCCAGGTAAAAACATCCGCGTTAGTCTCCTTATAGTTTGGAGTAAAGCCGATCACGTAGGAGGTAGCAAAAATTTTGTAATCTCCCG